CTCGCTCTCACTCTCTCTCTCTCTCTCTCTCTCTCTGTCTCTCTGGCAAGCACACATGCCTTATCGCAAAAATCTCTCCCTAAAAAAGAAAAACAAACAGGACTTTTCCAACAACCAAATATTGTGTATTAAATGAGATAAATCACATAAAACTATTACTAAATAATTATTTGTTGATTAGTAGAAAAATGGCATTTAAAATTGGTTTATTTTTATTTTACCTTTCTTCTTTATCTCTTGATATATTTTTAATTTATTGGTTTGTGAGTTCTATTTTATTGGGAAGATATATAAAATGTAATTGAAATTCGAGTCTACAAATTTAGAGAACTGTCAAATGAGTAACATAATTGGGTCACAGTAATTACCCAACGACATTTATTAAGCAAGTAAGTAGACATTGTTTTATATCAGATGCTATATTTTTAAAAACAGATTGAAAAAGGGCAAGACCTTTGGAGAAGCAGAAAGTAGCACTCAATTATAATATGTATATACATGCATATATACATTTCAATGAGCAGAATATATATAGATCTTGTTCTTAAAACTTGCTCCACACCAGCATATTGTGATTATTGATGTTGCTTGATTAGATGCCTTGCTGACTATTTGAATGCCTGTGTGGTACAGAAGCAATTGTAAGGGAAGAAGTTTCCCCATCTCCCAGGTTACTGTGAAATTGGCCATTCAAAATCAGTTCTTTCTAAATTTTCCTTCTACCTATCCCAGTTGCTACACAGTGAATCCTTAGCATGGGATGAAAAACTGACAAGGAGACCATGAATGGAAATGGACAGACAAGGTGATAAATTTCAGACTTCTTTTTAATAAAAGAAAAAAATTATTTACTTAATTCCATTTGTTATTATTATTTTTTATTTGAACAAAGAGAGGCAGAGAGAGAGAGAAAGAAAGAAAGAGAGAGAAGGTGGAAGCAAGAAAGCAAGTCACCAGAGCTGGGAACTTGAACCGTGGTCAGTCATGCAGGAATCCAGAGCCTTTAACCACCATGCCACCTGCTAGCCCTGATAAATTTCAGATTTCTAAACTCATGTGTCAGATCTCATTGTGTTGTGTTATGAGCTCCTAGAACATGTTCTGTCTTACAGGCTGGTATTTCTAACTGTTTTGACTAAACTGTTAAAACTGAACATGATCTTTTCAGTTTTAACTAAACATGATCAAAAAGAGGACAGGAAACACATCATAACTGTTCATTCCCAAGCTCCTTGGTTTGTTGATACTTTTCCACTGGCTCCTTTCTATGGGATCTTGGTCCTGCATCATCTCTTATCCCCCAAGCTGTTCTGTTTTCTTCTCTCTCTCTTCTTTTTCCCAAATATTAATTTTTTAAAAAGTTGACATATAGCAACCCTTAAAAATAAAAACCTTCAGGTGCTTGAGACTGATAGAGGAGGAAGAAGATTAGGAGTGTGCTATAGATAGGTCTATGGGCCACCCACTCCACTCTTCTAGTAGAGAGGTATAGCATCCATGAGATAAAGAAATGGGGCATTATCTGTTGAAGATAACTTTATAGTATTATCAACTGGACTGGGGAGAAATGCGCACATGTTGGAATATTCACTTTGCAAGCTAAATAATGTGATTGGACGTATACAAGAACTTGAAATAAAATTAAAAAAAATAACTTAAAAAAAGAGAAAGGTCTATGGGCTTGTTCTACTCTCTCCACTCTCAGTCCAGAGAGATCAATATAACCCTTCCTGTCCCACAACCACAGAATGAAACCAAAAACAAATGAACAAAAAACTTCAGGTGATGGCAGGTGCTGTGGGAGAGCTAGGAGACTTCCCCCTGAACTTCGCCATGTGGATGTTAGATAGCAGAAGTCATGGTAATTCACACTCTGTTGTTATTGTTTGATAAAGAGTCTCCCATACCTGACTGAATTTTGGCAGCAGGCAATGAGAAAACTGAAGCTTATCTTTGAGTGTTATGAAAACTTCATGTAAGAAAGCTAATGACTGGGACCAGCAGTTAGCGTAATGGCTATGTCACTGGACTCCCACGTAGTCAACCCAGGGTCGAGTCCCAGACCCGATGGCTTAAACTCATGCCAGCAGCATATGCGTGCATGCCCAAGATCCCGAGAGGAGAATGGAGGAGAAGGGATTGCAGCATGGCCATCCCCGCTGGGGGTGATGTCTCCCTTTCTATCTCTATGTCTCTCTCTCTCTCTCTCTGTCTGGTGAACACACACACCCTATAGAAAAAAACCTCTCCAAAAAAAAGAAAAAAAAAGAAAGCTAATGACTGATGCCCACATGGTCAGATGAGGGAAGGAGCATTAGGTGGTGAAATAGATGATTTGGATGGTGACCAGTTAGAAGGGCAAAGACTGAGACAGGAAGAGGATTAAGATTAAGTAGATTATGGTTAGATCATGTGACTTAAGGCTGTTACACACATTCAAAAGCTACCACCAAAATTTAGAGGAAACTATCAAATGCTAGAAATTTTTAGAATTGTCAAGGACATTCAAAGGAACAAAATAGATTTAAAAAAAATGTCCTGGACATTCCCACACATTTCAGATTATTATTTTGATTCGTCTTTTTATATAAAAAGTGTTAAGTTAAAAGAATAAAAAGCAAGTTATTATTAAAATTCACTGCAAACATAGAGATATATTTCTAAAGAAGAGATTTAAAAATAAAAATTATTTTATGGTTTAATTTGACAACTTCTGGTGAAGACATTTCTGAAGCAATTGGATCCATGTCTTTTTCTATGTGAAAATCAGTATTATGTATGCTTAAAAATGTGGAAAATGAGCTGGTTTACTATGAATATTTTACTAACAGTTATCGCTAAAATTTCTATTTTTCCACTGCTTGGGAAAATAGAATTCATGACCGCAGTTCACGAAATGCTGGTAAGCTATTTTAATAAGCTAAACTAGGAGCCAAGCTTCGAAGCTGACAAGTGGACACAAGGCCATTGATGGTGTGTCAGATCTGGTGAACTTTCCAGCAGAGTGACAGCTGGGTTTAATGATTGCCTGAGCACACATTGTCAGTAGAAATGAAACAAATTTGTTGCCCACTGGACAATTTCTTTAGATGCATTCTTCTCGAAGTTTGAAATACTTAGAAAGGCAATATGGTTGTATTGATTCAAAATTAAATAAAATGCTTATTGAATCATGCTACCTTGTGTTTTATCAGCTATCATATCTGAAATTAAGAATGTATGGAAATGTAACATGAAGTTATTAGGACTGAAACTTGGTTGGTGATAAATTTTCTTCTAAGACTTTCTAATTAATACTGTTACTAGTAGAGTAGGAAGATTTCATAGCTGAAGTTCATGATCCTCTCTGAGAACAGGTTCCTAAAATAAGCTCATTAGAGAATGGAATGCTGTGTAGGAGGTGTCCATGTTGTATCCAGTTGACTGTCAGGTGACCTTTCAGCCATGGACACCTACTCGGTTTTGGAAACCAAATAATCTTTTCTCCATCTTTATTTAAGACATGTTCATTTGGGAAGTAAATGCCAATATTTGAAAAGTTAATTTGAATATGTTCATCAATGTGGATTAGATTAATTTTACCTGTTTCCAGAGCAAGTACTAAATAGCTTAGAAGTCATTTAATGTACTGCTGTCACATTTTTTACACGTCAAAGCCTAGACACTGTGTCTTGCTGAGGCAGTTCAGGTAAATAAAGGATGCTGTCGCTAAGGTTGAAGAATTCACAGCTTTGTAGGAAAGCTCGGTCTATAGACTAATAATCTCAAAAGAGTAAGGGAATATGCGTAAAAATGGACATAATTTATCTATGGCTATGTCAGTATAAATGGAAAAGAGAAATATCTTTTTATGGAGACAAGAAAAACTAAGTGACTGCTTGGGAACCAGCAGTTGGCGTAATGGCTATGTCGCTGGACTCCCATGTAGTCGACCGCGGTTCGCGCCCCGGACCCGGTGGCTTAAAACTCACGCAGGGCACATGTGCGTGTGTGCCCAAGATCCCGAGAGCAGAATGGAGGAGAAGGGATTGCGGCATGACCTCCCCCCTGGGGGGTGATTTCTCGTTTTCTGTCTCTCTGTCTCTCTCTATCTGTCTGGTGAGCGCACGTGCCCTATAGTGAAAACCTCTCCAAAAAATAAAAATAAAAATAAAATAAAACAAAACTAAGTGACTGCTTAGAGCTCTTCAAAGTCAGATGCCCTGGTGGTTTAGTTTTGTAGCTGAACCTCCAAGAACAATAATTGACCTGAAGTAGGTGCTTAGCCTTGAGAAAGAAGAACAAAGCATAGGCCGTGATTAGGGTAAGTCCTTCACTGGGTAACAGTATTATCAGTTTGTGTGACATGATGGCTTAAGAAAATGAAGTAGTGTTTCTCTTGTATTCTTTCTTGTGAAATCACTTTCTTCTGCTTCTTTCTCAAACCCAGTTTAAATTATTAATGTTAAAACCCACATCAGGGTTAGTAGTATGTTCCTGAAGGTTGTCTTTTTATTAACACAAACAAGCAAAAGAAGTTTGTTCTTAAAGAGGAGAGTAATTGAAATTTTTTAAGTTGAAACTACTTATTGAAGGTCACACAGTGTTATCCAAGATCATAGAGCATAGCTGAGATGCTAACTTGTATCTTCTTCTGTCTGTTTCACTGTATCTTCTAGTACCCGTATGAAACTAAATATACAAAGACTGTACAAATAGCTGAAGATTGTATTTGAGTCTGAATGAGATTTTTAATCATTCCATATTGACAGTGCTCATGGTGCTATCAATTAGATCACTTGGTGAATAGGAATGCCTTTGCACTAATATAACAAAATGTTCTGGGACAATGCTGCAGCTACTAGAGAAGAGTAACTGGAGGCTGGGTAACACGCCAGCTTGAGACCATGCACTGTCTTGTATCATGAGAGTTAATAGCTAACTGGAAATTCCATATGAATATTGCATCTTTACCTCACTGGTGAAGTGTAGAAAATAATGTTGATTTTATGTATTTCCAGCTAGAACATGTGGCTCAAATCTGCGTGGACCCAGTGGCATTATTACCTCCCCTAATTACCCAGTTCAGTATGAAGACAATGCACACTGTGTGTGGGTCATCACTACAACAGACCCGGATAAGGTAAGACTGACTCTCCTAGTCCCATGTGGTTAATACAGTCCACACTGGTTCCGTCAACTACTTAGGTAAACGACGTGGTAAATGTCATGTATCCTTACATTCTGCTGTTTGAATTGAAGAGCTATACCAGATTATTGTTTATATAGCCATGGACAGCATAACAGTGTTTCAGGCAACCGTGGAGTACGTATGTGAAAGTGATCTCATACGATGATAATAAGCTATACCACATAGCCTAGGTGTGCTGTAGACTATGCCGTCTCAATTTCATAAAGACATTGATGTTCGTACAATGATGAAGTCACCTGATGGCACATTTCTCACAATGGATCCCAACCTCTACCCACATTCATTTGGAAAGCTGTCTAAGATTCAAATAAAAAGTGAGTATCCTCAGTCTGATCCCCTGTAACAGTTCCCAAGATTGAGACCATGCTCTTCTTCCATGTACAATAGAACTTCTTCATTTGCATTATGTCTTTCTCAACTTAAGCATAATTCACTATATCTGATGCTTTTGAAATCTCACAGTATTTCTTCACAGTAGGGCTAATTGTTACACTAAAAATGTTCCTACTCTATCCAACCTTTTGAATATTGTTTTCTAAATCATTGTCCAAGTATTTCCTTCAGTAATTTAAGTTTTCTAAAAAGAAAGCAAGTTTTAGCATTTTTTTCACAGTTTCTTACCCTAAGTATATTAAGTAGGATAGACATTTTCCCTCAGAGTAGTCAAAGGAGATACCATGTTATTTCTCCATAAATTTTGCATACATAGTTTGTAATTATGTTAATACCAATGAACAACAATAGTAAACAACAACCATAAAAAATGAGGTTGAATAACTTCTGTATTATAATAATTTTGCTTTTAAAAAACTGTCAGGGAGGGACCAGCAGTTGGCATAATGGCTATGTCACTGGACTCGCATGTAGTCGACTGCAGTTCAAGTTCTGGACCTGGTAGCTTAAACTCACGTGGGGCACGTGTATGTGTGTGCCCAAGATCCTGAGAGGAGAATGGAGGAGAAGGGATTTTGGGGGGGATGATTTCTCGTTTTCTGTCTTTCTCCATCTTTGTGGTGAGGGCATGTGCCCTATAGGAAAAAATCTCTCAAAACAAAACAAAACAAAACTGTCAGGGAATAGAGCCATTCTCTGTATGAACTTTACTAAAATAAATAATGTTAAAGGGAATATATTTATAATAACATTACATTTTTAAGCCCAAACTATTTGCACTTATTATACCAACAGTTCTCTCTGAAACAATCACTTCTTCATTTCTATATTTTATTTAAATATTTGTCATAATTATTCAGATTTCTCTTAGAGCTATGAAGTTTCCAGATCTAAAAGCAGGGAAGTTCTAGTTTTAGATTCAATAAAATGTTCATCACAGATGCCTTTTGGTTATTGTTTATTTATGTTAGTTCTGAAGTCTCAGCTATGATATTTTTTAGAGATATTTTTGCTATAGGGCATGAGTGCTTGCCAGAGACAGAGACAGAAAGAAATCACCCCCAAGGGTGTTTGACCACACTGCAATCCCTTGTCTTCCAGTCTTCTGGGGATTTGGAGTGTGCACTCACACACACACACACACACACACACACACACACACCAAGAGCAGGAGTTTAAGACAAATTGTGGTTGGACTCAAATTGTGGTTGACTACATGGTAATCCCTCAACGTAACCATTATGCCATCTGATGGTCCTTCACTTATTATCTATAGGAAAATACAAACTTTAATAAACAGAACTAGGTACAAATCCAGGGTGTTCTAAGTCTTCTTCTTGAACACTGAGAAATGTCTGGCCTCCTATGGCTATGACAGAAGACTCCAAGTTTTATTACGGTGCTTTTAGATATGCGAGAACTATATTTTACCCTAGGGTGTCAATTACCAAAATCCAAGCCATATACTTCCCCTTATATACTTATTTGATGGTTTATTTATTCAATTTTGATTGATTGATTGATTTTTACCAGGGAACTACAGTTTTTCCAGTCCTTGTTCTCAGCTCCATACATTTCAGCCCTTACACTTAGTACTTGAATGAAATTGGGCAAGTAAATTAACTTCCTTGGGTCTCAGAAAAATAGATGATAATAGTATTTACCCTAGTGGTTGAGCAGTATTAATCAATCAGTGTGTGTACCTAAATAAGAACAATATTATTATCTATTATAAGCTAGTAGTAGTAGTAGCAGTGGAAACATAGTCAAACATAGAATAAATAGAAAAAAATCTTGACAATTTTATGTCTGTTTACCAAGCCATCTTATTAATTTGTCTACCATATAGGATAGTTTTGTTCCAACCTGAATTAAAAATGTAGAGCATATCTCTTGCTTAAAGGTGATTATTTTCATTAATTTTTATATTTCTATGTTTTAAAATTACAATATTCTATCTTATCTGAAGTAACTAAAGTCATATGACATTGAGCAATTAAAAAAGTCCTGAAAATTAAATAGTAGAACTTTAGAGAGCAGATACTAAAACAATTGGGTTTGTTAGTTTAGGAGGTATATTAGGTATTGAATTGAATTAGGGATAGAATATTTCCATAGGGGGCACATAAAATCAACTGCTTTATATTGTAGGTCAAAATATCTCACTGAGACATTTGTAAAATATAACAATATGTTACTTTTGCAAATTATGGGATAGGAGATACTTTTGTTAGGTGCTTTTTAAGTTTTCAAATGAAAGTCCAACTAAAATGAATTAGTTTGGTTAAATCACAGGACTAAGTTAACTTTTATGTTTATTTAGTTCTGTGATAATTACATGAATTTATCAGAAAGGAAAAAGTGTATGAGAGGGATTACATGGAAATAGTAAAGTCACTCTGGAAGGTAGAGCAGTAGGCCATCTAGGCAGGCAGCCTTTCTCTATCCGCTGGGTGTTGTTTCATTGGGTGAAGCCCCTCACCGGACTTGGCCCTCTTCAGGTCTCTAATACCGCAGAACACCTTGCTTCAGCGCTTCTATTACCTGGTACTTTCTATTCCAGGGCTCTTGATCTTTATGACACAGCCCAAATCTGAGTGAGATGGAGTTCTCACCACTCTCTGTCAATGGAGGAATGGGCAGATGGGCAGACAATGCTCTTCTAAGGAGTCCCAGACAGAAAATGCTGAGGTGTACATTCTTTAGTTCCAGCAAGAAGGAGCCAAGTGCCCATGGGGAACCAGTTAGCTATTGCATTCATTGGTGATATTTTTCTGTTTCTTTCTCTTACTTTCCTTGGGATGACATCCAGATGAGTGGGCTGCAAGCAAGATTCTGCTTTGGGGAGAAACCCTTGATAAGACAAACCTGGGAGGCAAGTAGGTGGTGTGATGGTTAAGGCACTGGACTCCCCCATGGCTGACTGAAGTTCATGTCCTAGACTCGGCAGCTTGAAAATCATATCAGGCACGTGTGTGTACATGCCCAAAATCCCAGGAAGCAAGTGGAGGTGAGGGGATTATGGTATGGCCATCCTCCCTGGGGGTGATTTCTCACTTTCCCTCTCACTGTCTTTCTCTCTGCCACTCTGGTGAGTGCATTTGCCCTATGGCAAAACCCAAAGATAAATAAATAAGCAGATGAACCTGAATACTAGCAGTAACATAACTTCTATCTGGGCTTCTCATGTACAAAGAAAGAAAATACTCTATGAGAGATTTATAGATGGAGTGGTGAGATGCAGAGTTGATAACTGACCGTAGTACTTTCTCTGAGAGAGAGTTGATGAAGTCTGGCTGGCACTGTGGGGGCAGTACAAGGTAGATTCCACTAGATTTGTCCTATTAATAGATACAGACTCAGCAAGACTTGATATAAGTCACAAATGGAGAGTAAGGGAGCGGGAAGAACAACCAGGATGCTGATCCTCTTGTTTAATCAGTGCATCCCACCCAGCTCTGCCTTAGCAGGTGCACTGAGTGGCAGAAAAATGGAGGAATCAAGGATGACTCTGAGAGTAGGGGTGAAGCCCTCATGAGCATAAGCTCCAGCCTGTCTAGTCCTGGGTATATCCTCTGTCTTTGTACAGTTACTAATAAAGCCCATATTTTATTCTAAAATTTGTTCCAGTTTGGAACAACAGATTAGATGCTTCCACCTCCCACCTTTTAACTAGAGAAAGGACATCAGGAACCACTTTTTTTTTTTTTTTTTAAGGGAGAGATTTTTTGCTATAGGCTGTGTGTACTTGTCAGAGAGACAGAAAGACAGAAGGCAAGAAGTTACCTCCCAAAGGGGATGCCCATTCTGCAATCCCTTCTCCTCCATTCTTCTCTCAGGATTTTGTGCATGCACACACACACACGCCCAGCCGGAGAGAAACATCAGGAAATCAGGAAGGACTGGCTGATGGTAGTGGTGTCCACCACATTCAGGCAAGCAAATTGCCAAGGAAATACATTTGAATTATCACTAAATTCACCTTTTAATGTTTAAAATACTGAGTTTTAAGCCTCCAGGTCCAGGATTCAAACCATGGTCAACTATGTGGGAGACCAGCAACATAAGCATCATGCTGTCTGCTGACCCAGGGACTAGAGTTTTACGGGAAGAAATGGATTTGGTTTTAGGCAGCGTGATAGGTACGTGCTCTGTATTTACGGATATATCCCTGATAGAGGTGAATTTGGAATTCACAGATGTGTTAGCTGCTGAAATGAGGGATAAGAAAGATGGCATGCAGAGACTCACTAAAAGACTCAACCAAGCTCTGTTAATGGTGTTTTTCTTTCAAGGTCAATTGGAGGGTAGATGTGCCTTCAATTATAACAAGAAAGATATTCCAGCTATAAGTATCATTGAAGAGCTTCAAAATATTAAACTCTTTGCCTTGAAGTGGAATAGCCATGGGGTTTCAATTCAGAAGACAGTGTTTCCAAGTTAAATCTTCAGGGACTATGCTTAACACTTTGAAATAGTTAAAATGTATTGAAATCCAAATCACATATGAATAGTTACAAATATGGCCTAGACTAGGC